TCGGCGGGAAGCCTGCTTCTCCCTCTCCCACTCCCCCTGCTTGTGTTCCCTCTCTTGCTGTGTCTCTCTCTGTCAAATAAATAAATAAAATCTTTAAAATGACAGGTCCTTCACAGCACAATGCTATAAAAGGAGAGCTGGGATTTAAACCACACAGTCTAGATCCAGAACTCATGCTCTTAGCCAAAATGTTCCACTCCCTTTTTGGAGGCACACGCAGTAAAAGATAAACACAGATATTAAAGCAGGTAAATATGAACAGATACGGACATAGCTGTGGATGGCTACAGACAGAGAATTAAATACACACAACAAACAGAGATGTCACTGCTCAAAAACAATTCTAAAGAAAAAGTAGGAGGGAAGATGGACAAGAAGAGGGTTAATGGAACTATTTTCTCACAATTCAGTGTCCTTGTTGGGGTGCTACAACAAGGAACCTCCCCACATCCTCTTTGAGGGCCACGTGAGACGTAGGCACGTTCCTCTTCACCTGCCATGCTTGGAACTACTATACTGCAGGGCACCATTTACATAGAGTGAGACTAACACCGCTGCTGTTTCAACAAACCAAACCAACAAAACCTCCCAGTTCGTTACATCTCAACTGGTAGATGGATCTGCCTACTTACAGAAATAGGCTTGTTTCAAGACTTAAAGTTTATCTCAAAACTGAAAAATGACTGAAAATTACAGAAGAACTTTATTATATTCCAAAGGACTATTATGATATTTTTGTCATACACTTTTTCTTTTCAGTTTTACTTTTGTCCTCACTGTGGTAGAAGTGTCCTGGATAGAAACATCACCATGTGCTGGGCCTTGGGTCTTGGAGAGGTGGGCAGGTCTGCCCGGTATGTCACTTCAATCCACGCAAGAACTATCCTCTTTATAAACAGACCAAATGCTATAGGGCCCTGCATCTCCTTACCCCTACCCTGGCTTCAGCACCGAGGGATTACATCAGTGAAAATTCCTTAAGCCCCAGTTTCCTCTGTGTAAAATCAGAACCCAACAATACCTACCTCATAGGGTCACTGTGAGGATCAAAAAGGCAGCACATACACTTAACTCTGTGTCTCTGGTACCTGGTGAGCCCACTAGTCAAAGGTAGCCTTCATAATCATGTAATTCCACCCTGTCTTCAGGGTGAGTTTTCAAAATTGAAACTGATACAATGTGCTGATTTATCTAAGAATATAATAATTAAGAAACAAAATTCTTCTGGTACTAGATAAAAATTATAATCATCTAGTTCAAGAGCTGACCATTTTATCTTACTGCCTAGCACTTAAGAAGAAAACAGTGGGCTCGGGGACTGCAGCTGCCCCAGCCCCGGCCCCCCCAGCCCCCAGGGCTAACAGAACTCTGACCTCTGTTGACTCTTCTTGCTCATTTATGACGAGGAAGGCATCCTCCGCAGCCTGCCGTTTGACGTCCGCTATGGTTTGCTCCATCCGAGCTCTCTCTGTTGCAATCACTTCAAAGGCTTTTTGTTCTGCCTCAGCAACAGCTTTCTGTACTTCTGACATGGCCTGAATTTTCACCTTATTCACAGCTTCTTCTAGAAGAAAGTGACAGTAAAATCAACTGGCCGAGAAATCTTTTCCCTCCCACTCCCTATCACTTGCGAGAAGGGATGGAGCTAAAACAAGAGGACTTTTCCAAAAATACACACGGTTTAACATAGGACATACACATTCACTTTTATTCTTATACTATTTGTCTGTTCATGTACTCCCTTGTTGGGTGTATAGATGGGCAGCACTGTGCTAAGGGCTGGGGACACCTAGAGGACTAGGACGTAGTCCTTTTTCCCTACATGTTTGTACTCAAGTACAAAGGTGGCTTGGGGGTCCATGACGTATGTCAGTACAAGAGATAAGAGTTCCAAGAAGACAAGTGGTCAGCTCTACAAGTGGCGGGGAAGATCAAGAAAACGTGCCTTGGTTGAGATGGTAGGTGGAAATGAGTAGTTGTGAAGTCTCACATCCCATGCTAAGGGCTTTGGCTCTTTCTAAAGAAAACATTAACTCCTGAAGGGTTCTATGCAAGGAGAAAAGACTGAAGGCAGAGATAGCCTGAGAGAGGCTGGGGCAGTAGAAATCCATCTGACAGAAGAACTCTGAATTTAGGCAGGACCAAGGGCATAGAGGAAGGGATGAGGCAGAATGAGGCTGGCAGCATCTAAGAGTCTGGAGGTAAAGGTGAAGAATGAATGATAGTGCTATGAAATGAAACAGATAATAAGCAAAATGCCATGTGGAGGCAAGTGGGAAGACTGAAGTGCCTCTGGGGCATCCAGGTACAAATGGCCAGGAGGCAGTTAGATATAGAAGACTGAACTCAGGGGGCACCTGGGTGGCTCAGTTGATAAGTATCTGCCTTCGGCTCAGGTCATGATCCCAGGGTTCTGGGATCAAGCCCCACATCAGGCCGCCTGCTCAGCGGGAAGCCTGCTTCTCCCTCTCCCACTCCCCCTGCTTGCTTCCTGCTCTCTGCTCTCTCTATCAAATAAATAAAACCTTTAAAAAAAAAAAAAAGACAACTGAACTCAGCAGAGCAACGTGGGCTCAAGATATGGATTTGGGCATGCCAGGAGCCTGGGCTTCCAAAGCCCTATACACTATCAGTATCATCCCACTTGGTTCCTGATCACTTCCTCCCACCACCACCATCCTGCTTGGTTTCCACAGAATGGACACTCCAAATGGCATACACTATGCACTGAGCCTCATCTCCAAGACCCAATGTGAGTGACCGCCTTCTTGGGTCCACAAGACTGGAAAACCCAAAAGCCTAAGGAAATTCCTTTATGGCTTGGTTCTTTCACATGGCCTAGGCTCAAAGATCATCTAAATAAAGTGTTCTAGGCTGCCATCCTAAAACTTTTCATCTTATTACTCCAGCCTTAAGAAAAGATCTTTTCACTCCAAAAGACAAGAATGATGCTGAGTTGACTTGACAGTGAACTCCACGCTTCTTTTACTCTTGGTATCTACACAGGTCCACTGTGGCCCACCACCACTGCCCTTCATAACCCACTTATTAGTTTCCAGATAGGGTTCTTAAGTCAACATAATAATGCCCTAACGTATATTTTATCCTCTCAGGTTAAGGGTCAATCAGTAAGAGTCACAGTTTGAAGTCACCTAAGTCACAGATGACACCATAGCAGAGGAAGGACTTAAATCCAAACAGTTCAAAACCAAAGTTTGGCTCTTAACTATAGTTAACCAAAGGTACCACCCAAGTGGGAAATCACTAGTTACCAAGGAGATCTTGTGCATGGTAATCCTGCTCTTTACCTTAACAACTGCTATCTTCATTTCCAATAATTCTATTCCACTTCTTGGTAATACGTATTTCCACATTTCCCACTGCAAAAAGGTTTTTCCAAGTTGCTATGTATTTTTCCAAAAAAAATTTTTTTTTAAAGATTTATTTATTTGAGAGACAGAGAGAGACAGTGTGAGCAGGGGGAGGGGCAGAGGGAGAGAATCTTCAAGCTTGGGGCTTGATCCAACAACCCATGAGATCATGACCTGAGCTGAAACCAAGAGTCAGACACTTAACCAACTGAGCCACCCAGGCGCCCCCAAATTATTTTTAATGACAAAATAATATTTTGTGTGGCTAAGTCTGAGACAGGAATGATTTTAAGAATTTGCATATACTGGGTTACCTAGCTCAGTCAATCAAGTGTCAATTCTTGACCTCAAGGTTGTGAATTCAAGCCCCATGCTAAAAATAAAATCTTGGGGTGCCTGGCTGGCTCAGTCAGTTAAGCATCTGCCTGCGGCTCAGGTCATGGTCCCAGGGTCTAGGGACTGAGCCCCACATCAGGCTCCTAGCTCTTTAATAAAAATAAAGTAAAAGAAAATCTTTAAAAAATTTGCACACATTCAAGGTTGGTCTACCTAATAATTTCATAAATAAACCTCTAATGAATTATTTAGTGTCGTTAACAAGGTCATCTAAAAATAGGTCAACAAATATATGTCAATAAAGACTCTGGGGGCTAACTGCTTTATCTTATATTCTCCTAAACTGCCAGTCAGAACAAACACTCTGCAGTATGTTTATTTGTATTTCTCACAATTTGTTCATATCTTTTGTCCATTTGTTTATGATGATCTTGATGCTCCTGAAAGAGTCTTTATGAAGGGCAAGTATTAACTTTTGCAGAAGTAAATTTTATCTCAAAAAAAACAAAAAACAAAAAAAAACGCAAGAACTGTACTGGACTACAAAAAAATGGTCTTGGAAAAGGGAGCCTAGAAGGAAAAGAAGGCTCATGTCTGGACAAGGGCAGATTTAGGGACACGAGGTTAGTTTTATCCACTATCTTACTGCAATAGACAGACCCACCCTCCTTTTAGTCTTCTAGAAAATGAGACCCACCAAGAACAGTCTTGACAAAGTGGGGACAATGAAGGTGAAAGGAAGAGTGGAGGGTTGTTCCAAGGCCAGAATGAGCCAAATGTGGTAGCATGTGAACACAGTGTGTGAAGATACAAGTGAACACAACAGGCAGAAATGAATTGAGCTATATGCTCAGAAATAAGGCATATAAATAGGGAAGGAAAATTTGGTTACTTAATGCCTCAGGATGACCCAGCAGAAGGGTATGCAGTAAGACGTCATCTGAAATTCTTGACCTGCAAAAAATCCTGTGAAGCGCAGTCCAGGTGTATGCGAAAGCTGGAGGGAGAAAGGAAGGAGCCTAGAGTTCTGAGGAGAAAGTTATGAGCCAAAGACCTTTCCCCCAAACATGTGCTCCAGGCTCACACAAATTAGTGAGTATGTGACATAGAAGCACACAGATACGTACCAGTTTTTTTCCAAAACTCCACAGGTACATATCCTGTTCCTGGCCTATTGTTGAATTCCCGCTGCGAATCTACAAAAGGGATAAACAGCACAGGGTTAGAAGTGGTCTATAACCAACGTGTTTTATTTTTATGGAAAAAAAAAAAATTTTTTTTTTTTAAAGATTTTATTTATTTATTTGACAGAGAGTGAGAGGGAACACAAGCAGGGGGAGTGGGAGAGGGAGAAGCAGGATTCTGCTGAGCAGGGAGCCCAACTTGAGCTTTGATTCCAGAAACCTGAGATCATAACCTGAGCCGCCTAACCGAGCCACCCAGGAGCCCCTCCTTCTGTTCTTAAGATGGGTCCTGTTTAATCAATTCCATGTCTTCCACTCTGGTTTCCTTCCCTCTTTTAGGATATATCCTACTCAATTGTGGTAGATACCACGATAAAGGGTAGATAGGAGATACATTTTTTAAAAAAGATTTTCAAGAGAGAGAGTGCGTAAGCGCAGGAGTGAGCACACACCAGCGGGTAGGGAGCAGAGGGAGAGAACCATCAAGCAGACTCCCTGCTGAGCATAGAGCCCAACATGGGGCTGCTCAATCCAAGGATCCATGATATCATGACCTGAGATGAAACAAATAGCCTGACGCCCAACCAAATGAGCCACCCAGGCACCCCAAGAGGTACACTTTTTTAAACACTGTGGATTGTTAATCAAACATTTAATGGTTTTGGTCTAGTAAAGAATTTTAAAAAAGATTTATTCATTTATTTTAGAGAGAGAAAGAGAGCACATGCTTGAAATTGGAAGGGGGGGCACCTGGGTGGCTCAGTCGGTTAATCGTCTGCCTTTGGCTCAGGTCATGATCCCAGGGTCCTGAGATCGAGTCCTGCATGGTACTCTCTGCTCAGCAGGGAGTCTGATTCTCCCTCTCCCACTCCTCCTGCTTGTGCTCTCTCTCTCTGTCAAATAAATAAAATCTTAAAAAAAAAAAAGAAAAAGAAAAAGAAAAGAAACTGGGAAGGAGAGGCAGAGGGAGAAGGAGAGAGAATCCCAAGATTCCACGCCCAGTGTAAAGCCCCACTTGGGGCTTGATCCCACGACTGTGAGACCATGAGCCCAGCCAAAACTGAGAGTTGGATGCTCAACCACCTAGGCAACCCAGCTCTAGCAGAGAATGCTAAGTTAAAACGATTTTCCTTCAGAGTTGTATTCTAACTTTCAATGATGCTAACTGATATTTGTTTCTTCCACAGTGTTGTTTGATTGGTAGACTGGTTCAAGTTGGAATATTTGCCTTTCAGTTCTGGTAATTTTTTCCCCCCCAGTAACTACACTATCTTCGCTGTCTATTCATGGTTTCTGAAACTCATTTGATTTGGATTAGATGACTAACAAGTTCATAAAAATATTAATGTGTGGTTTGGTGAAAAAATTATAAAGTCAACATCCGTAAAACTTCAGGTCAAGAAAGACACTTCTAACAACCCCAAATCCCCAAGAGATGAGTAGTAGTAAGCCACAGTGCTGTTTAAAGGATGCTAGTCAGACCTGCAATCCTGTCCTCAGAAGAGCTGGTGAAGATGATGAGCACTCACTCTGTACTCTCCATCACCACAGCCTCCACCCCACACCCCAGAGAAAACCATGATCATTTTCTTCTTTTCCTTTATCCTTTTCCTACCTATTTATGCATCCGTACGTAAAATACCAAAATACATCCCTTGTCATCTGAACCAAATTTATCCCTGAAATATTGTGAATCACCAATGTTCAGATAGAGGGAACTTTTATTTCATTATTTTAAATGGGAAAAGTAATAATGCTATCCAGTCTCTCGTCAATTTCTCTCCAAATCACCAAAATACTTAAATACTAAACACTTGAATAAATAATCCACAAGTGGTTTCTGCATACACCAAACATTTAAAACACGAATTATCAAAAAAAAAACCCCAAAAAACAGAAACACCCACAAATCACAAATCATCTAATTATTTTGAAGTCATTGGTATGTTTGTGTGCTACGCCCAAGAACACTGCCGAGTGTAGCACAGTGCTGCTCCAAATGCTAGTCTACAAACTGCTATGGTCCATAAAGAGACAGGGAACATAGGCCAGAATGCACAACCACCGAGTCTTCAAGCACACTGCTTAATGTAGAGGACTCTTGTCAAAGTAAGCAAACAGCACCCAGTACATGCTGTGGAAGGCCCCTCAACCAATCATGGTCCAATAACAAATTCTTTTGGAATGGTTTTGGTCCACATTTTGAATAGCATGATTACTTAGGATATGAATGATGCTTTCTTTCTACACTACAACAAACATGATATAAGAGAAATAAACAATAAAATAAAAATATGAAATATATGTACTATGCATAAATGAAGATACTGAAAAAGATGAACAGAGGGTAATGCAGAGCCATGTTTAAATGCCTCCAAGAAGGGGTGCCTGGGTGGCTCAGTCGTTAAGCGTCTGCCTTAGGCTCAGGTCATGATCCCAGGATCCTGGGATCCAGCCCCACATCGGGCTCCCTGCTCAGCAGGAAGCCTGCTGCTCCCTCTCCCACTCCTTCTGCTTGTGTTCCCTCTCTCGCTGTGTCTC